TGTCTTTGATTTTCTTGGCTTTGCCTGCTAAATTTTTTACAGGAAATGTACAAATGGTCAAATCTGACAGAAAGCTTTCTTGAGCTAAGCCATCCTCTTCCACATAAGTCTGACCCTGCACTATGAGTTTTTACTACAGATCTGTCTGATCATGTGTACTGCCGCTGCACATACTGCCTTCAGTGTCACGGGCCAGTCCTGCTCACAGAGCCAGCCCCCTCTGAAGAGCGCTAGGATGGCCTCGTTCCACATCGCCTTCCAAAGAAGATGGAGCATTTCTGTCCTGTGCAGGAGAGTACCTGAGAGCTTTAACCCAGGAGGTCATGGTGTGCCTTTTTTTTGTCTCTAGCTATGGTGTACGTTTCATGAAAAACCTCTGGTGAAGGGAGCGTGCCAGAACACTCTTGCCATCCTGAAGCTGCATTACCTGGATCTCTACCTCATGCACTGGCCTCTTGGGTTCAAGGTACAGTAACAGCAATGTCCTTGGCTTTCCCTCCTGGAGAGCTCCTCAAAACCGCCAGTGACGCTTGCAGCACTACCGCTGCTCCAGTCCAGAAAGGCCACGTGTCTGTTGTGTGTACCAGCACTGCTCCGGTGCTGCTCATTCCGCTTTAGACTGGCCACGTGAACTGGGCTCTTGATCTCTGCCCCTGAGAGTGCTGCTTGGACAGTGTCCTCTGCCCTTTTGATACCGGAGATGTAGACCTAGCACTAAGACCAGGCCTCCCAGCTGCAAGCATAAGCTATGCCACTTTCCCTTTCTTTTACAAATCCAAAGCGTGCTCATCTGAAAATTACCCCTTGTGGGAAGGAGGCCTGTGTTTTGCTGCCTGACAGAAATTCTTTCCTCTCCATGTTACAGAATCACAGAGCAAAAGAAAATGCTTCTGTTTTCCATTTCTCTCTTTAATCACCAAGTACTTAATACAGCCCAGATTGAGCTGACCTTGCCTGTAGGAACATTAGTGTTGTTTCACAGACCTTGGATTCCAAAAGATGAGGCTTTTCTATACCAAACTTTTGCAGACTACATGTACTTCAAAGGATTTATGTCAGTTTGTATACACACACACACACACACACATATACTCTTAGCCTTTCTTTTCTGCTACTCCCAGATCAAAATCTCTATTCTACCTAATGCTTTTGAGCTCCTCAACCTCATTTCATTCTCTCAATATTGTTTTAGTTAGCATTATGTGGACAAAGTTGTCAAGTGAAACTGCATAATATTGTGGCATCTAGAAAATTCCAATCATTCAATATACTTTGGCCATACTGTCTAGTTAGGCTGTTCTAATTTTCCTAATACAGCAATTTAAACAGTGAGCCTCCCCATGGGAAATCTGTCAGCAGTACCTTTTTCAGCAGATGAACTCCAGTATAAATGTGTGCATTCACAGGACAAAGTCAATCCTCTATATAACTTTCTAAAAACAACTAAAGAAGCTATTATTCCTAAACATGCATAACGGAACAATACATGAAGTGAACTCATGTAAGACCCCAGGATATTGTTCTATGAGTAAATTGCTTCCTTGCATGCATTTTGTGGATCATCACTTCAATGGGTCCAGCAGAAATACCTGTCTTTATTGGGATAGTAGCTGGCAAAAATGCCATGACCCTGCATGAACTAAGAATAAGAAATGACTGAAGAATTAATAAAGTTATGATGAGAATTACGTGAGTTTTTTTCATGCACTATTAGCTTTAGCTCCTTACATTCCTGTTTGGTTCTTCTACATACCTAGCGTCCCAACAGAGATTATTTCAAGTATTCTCTCTCTCACTGACAGGCAGGACATGAGCTGTTTCCCACAGATGACAAAGGCATGTCCATACCCAGCAATACAGATATTCTACAGACATGGGAGGTAAGTTCAGCCACAGCGGAAGAGTCATGTCCTCTGTCCTCATCAGTCTCTTCCATGTTTTCACTACCTTCAGCAGTCACAGAACTGTTGTCTCATGCATGCAAAATTAGTTGGATGGAACATAAGGCGGTACAAAGTAGCTTTTCATAACGTGCATGCTTAGTCATTACCTAGTTATTCCTATTCCCCGAGAGCCTTACTTGAGTGCCTGACCCACAGTCAGCTGCACAGTCACTTTCAGTGGAGCTGCAGACCAGATTGAGGTTAGAAAAAGTTCTTTGCTTGACCATAACAACTGTACAATTGTCTTCACCACAGTTCTTGTGCCCTTCTTGAATTGCTCAAATACATTTTACAGAAATAAAGATATTTTAGGTTGAGATCTTGCCTACAGCGTGGGGCGCTGCCCTCCCGTGCTTGCATAATAGTGGGTTACTGAGTGTTGTTCTTTTCCTTATGCAACTTGGTGTGAATTTCCACAAACTCAAGCAATGAGAATTTGGGCTTGGGTGAGACGGCACTAATGTACCAGTACCTGCTTTTCCCTCAGAGAACTCTGCAACTCTAAATAGTTATTTTGTGCTGCTTATGATGGGAAACAAGCCACATCAGGAAGAACATCTTCTTCACGACCTGTCTTGCATACCAGATGATGATTTTGCTCCTCTTTATGTTAGGCCATGGAAGAGCTGGTGGATGCCGGTCTGGTAAAAGCCATTGGAATCTCCAACTTTAACCGTGAGCAGATTGAAAGAATCCTGAACAAACCAGGACTGAAGCACAAGCCTGCAAATAACCAGGTAAGCTGCAAAGTGACTGCAGGTGAATAGTTTTCAGGGATTATAAAGATCTGATTACAGTTGAATGAGGAGATAGAAAAAGGGAGAACAAAGTAGAATACAGCATGTACTCTTAAATCCCACCCTGAATATTTCTGGGTACACAAGGCACTGGGATACTTCCTTTTTTCTCTCACCTTGCTGAAATGCTGTTTACAAATGTTGGAGTATTTCCCTGTGAAACATTATTTCTGGAAGAATAAAGAACCCAGAGATGAGCTTTGTGAAACTGCGGCAGAAAAAACTGTGTAAGCACTTTGTATAAAAATAGATGTCTTCAATACTAAGGATGCATGTTATCATGTAGGCCACTGGCAAATTAGGGCAAAAGGCAGCCTCTAATTGGATTCGGAGATAATCCATGGAGCACAGAAGTATTACAACAGTTCTGCCACTATCAGCCTCTGTGCCTTTGTGTTGGCAGATCGAATGTCATCGATATGTCACCCAGGAGAAGCTGATCAAGTACTGTCAGTCCAAAGGGATTGCTGTGACAGCGTACTGTCCTCTTCGCTCTCCTGACAGGCCATGGTAAAATTGCTTTGCAATTTGCAAGGGAGCTGGCAGGGATTATGCTTGAAACTTTGAGACTACAAGTGGACCATCAATCATTCATCTAGATACATCTCTCTGTTGCTAGGTTGGAGCTTCCTATGGAGGTTCCTCACCACTGATCTTCTTTCCTCTGTGTAGGGCTAAGCCAGAGGATCTTTCCCCTCTGGATGACCCCAAGATCAAAGAGATTGCAGCCAAGCACAACAAAACACCAGCACAGGTAGGTGGGTGCCAGACAGTGGGTCCCCCTTCCTGTAACACAGCCATTAAGGAAAATAGATGGGAGGAGGAGGCAGAACCTGCATCCATTCCTTATGACCTCTGGCACTTCTCTGATTTTTCCCTAACAATGTAGATTGCTTATTATATGGCCTGCAAGATATGCTACTACTGTCTCTTCGGCCCTCAGACAGAAAAAGATTCTCGACCCGTCTTCAAATGTCACTTCCCCTCTCAAGTCCTCTTGCAGAGAGTGAAAGCCTCGCATAGACTGCTGAGCATCCAGGTGGGAAGAAAAGGAATTGACTGTCCTGAAACTGGATAAGAAAGGAGGCCTTCCATGTGGGCCTCCACCACTTCCCTCTTTGTTCTCCAGGAAGCACTACCTAGGCCACAGGAATGGAAATGATTTGAAATGCAGCTCTGCAGAAGCTGGTGTAGCTTAGGGAGAACAGCTGTTGGAACAGGCTCTGCTTCCTCTGGAGCAGGAGCTGTCCTCTCTCTGACTCAGTGGTCTGTTCCTGCAGGTTCTCCTTCGCTTCCAGATCCAGAGAAATGTGATTGCAGTTCCCAAGTCTGTCACACCACAGCGCATTGCGGAGAACTTCAAGGTGAGTGATTACAAGTGACCTGGGTGCTGCCCTTCAGGGTCGGCATGCCTTCCCCCACAGAGCAAGCAGCGATCCTTTCTCACCCTTCCCAAGTCCTCCTCAGGCAAGAGGACTGGGCTTTTTCTCTCTGTCTGGAAGCTAGGACTACAATGAAAACTACAGCTGGAGAAAAGATCTATCTTTGGAGGACAGATGAACAGGTCTTGTATGACATTTCCTGTTCTGTGGCTTGTGGATGAATCAGCAGGCACAGCTTGCTTGGAGTCCACACACAGTAACATGGCAGAAAAAATCTTATATAGAATAAGCAATGTTCATAAAACAGTTCTTGTGTCCATAAAACAAGTTGTTCCTCTATCTGTTAATTATCAGTCCATGACTGAAAATGGACCCTCCAGTGTGGAGCTGCTCTCTAATCTTGTCTTTCTTCACACTGTTTGATTTTTCAAAGAGGTGGGTTCCAGCTGTTTCTCTTGTTAGGTGTTTGACTTTTAACTGACTAAAGATGAGATGGCAACCCTTCTCAGCTTTAAGAGAAACTGGAGCATCTGTGCAATGAGCATGTAAGTGACACTGCTTTGTTTCCGTCCAACTCTTAAATTTTGAATATTCTTTACAAGGAATTTTGTGTCACAGCTACTAGGTAGCATGAAATTCAGTTTAATTAAAAATCATGCCAACTCAAATTCCGACTGGTTTGTCCCAAAAATACTTTTTCAAGAGAGGCTTTAATATTTTCATTTAAAAAAAAAACAACTCCAAAAATGTAAACAAAATACATATTCTCATTTTTAATTCAGTTTCAAGGAAACTCTCTGTAATTTGAATTACAAAAAATGGGTTCTAGATGTTCATTTAATCTTTGTACTAGAGAAATGAAGACACACATCTCCACATATTCTTCCTGTAATTACATGATGCAGATCTTCCCTTGGTAGCTGCTCCATGCACCCAATACACCTCTGTAAAACATTTACTTCACCCATGTAAATAACATTCCCTCTTGATTTCCTTCAGGTCTAAAACTCACAAGGAGTACTCTTCCCATGCAGAATACTGAAGATGCTCGTAACATGGCCCTCACTAGACCTCTGGTGTTTCATGTGCCTCTGCTCTAACTTGAAGCTGTCTATTTATCTGGTTTTCTTACTGTGTCTGTCCTGCGCTGCCAGTGAAGACATGGGATGTTTATCCCACAAAATTTATTTCAGTTCTTTTTCTGGAAGAAGGAAAGAATATTGCTCTACAGAACAAAACGTGGGATGTAATAATTTTCTGCTTATTAGAAGAGAGGATTACTACTGAATAGCCTGGGCAGAGCTGCTAAGCAGAAAATGGGGAGAGTTTGAAGCACCATTCGGTGATTGCCTTCAGTCTTGCATCAGCAGAAACCAGATGTTGACAAGCCACAAAAAAACCCCATGCATCCACAATTTCATCAGAAGTGTCCCATATTTTAAACAAAATTAATTTTAAAATGCAAAAACATTATCGGCTGAAAGTCTTCCATCTAGTGTAGGAAAAACCCAAAACCCTCCTACCCAGAGACGCACAGAGAGGTCGGCTGCAGTCACCTGCACTTCGGGGACACGAACCCTCCCTGGGACAACAGAGCCACTCGGCACTTTCCCCTGCGGGCAACAGAGGGCAGCCAGCCCTCAGAGGAGACCCATGTTGCCCCCTTCCCCACCGGCCACCAGCCCCCGAGCTCCAGCCCACAGCGGTATTGGGGGGCATTTCAGACACCACACAACCCGGGTGTCTGCTCCCTGGTCAGGGCAGGCTTAGCCCCTTGGTGCTGTGCCCAAACTGCCTGCACCTTAGGACCTTCTCTCCAAAAATTCCACTTTCAATTCACATAGTCCAAGACCACGTGTTTCCCAGCTTCCTGAAGGAAGCAGCCCATAAAGCCCTCAGCAATCTCCAGGCAGAGGTAAGACATCCACCCTGTGAAAAAATACACCATGTTATTGAACCCAGTAAGGTACGATATTAACTACGGCGTGGGAGCCAAAGATTTAGGGATGTTCTATCACCCCTCACAACCACCCTCCTTCCCTTGGAAAGCGCCTGCTCAAACACTTGCTCTAACTCACTGCAGAGCCACCATTGTAGGCACAGTCACACAAATCCATCTAGATGCTCCTTGGCAAAGGGCAGCACTTACTGCCCCATCCCACCCACGCCGAAGGGCTCTCCTGCACCCACTTGAAGGGTCTCTCCTCTCATCCCAGGGCACAGACAACAACCTATTGAAAGAAAGGAGGTATCAGAGGGGTTTAGGCACATCATCTTGCTGAATCAGGCTTAGGTGTCAGGGATGAGTAGACAGGAGTTGCCTGCTTAGAGCAGGCAAATTGACCTGGATCTGCCACAGAGAGTGAGGGTATGTGCTCATAGTTTCTTTTCTGGAGTTTCATTTTAAATACACAGTTTTGCCAGCTCATGAGATTAATAGCCAAATACCAGAATTATCAAAGACTAAAGTCTTCAACAAAACTCTTGAGAAGACACAGAGATAGACAGCGGTGGGACCTCAGAGTATGCTCCTGGCTTGATCTGAACTCAATGCAAGAAAGAGG